TTATCGCATGCCAAGTGAAACTTACACGGGCATTGGGTGGCTTCCGTGTCTAAAGCGTTAGAAAATATGCGTTTGTAAGTATTGAGACAATTTTCTTAGGTACATATTTATGTTTTTTTTTTACCAAAAAATAAATTATTTTGCGCCTTTTTTTCGCCCCAAGTAATTGCTAATCTGTATTTTCGCGTGCACGTCTGAAAATACAATTCAAGAAAAACCTATTGAAAATATTAACGTCACCATTATTGCAGCACGTTTGCCATTATATTGTTTTTAAACCTAATATTATCATACACATCCGAAGCTGCGTGCGTGCACCTATACGGATATTTTTTTTGTTGGCACAGTTTGCAGTTGACGGATTTTGTTTTTTATGCTATTATTTTTTTTAGCTCATTACAATTCATACAGAGTTTTGTCGCACAACCGTGTCGTGCGGGGCTACAGCTGTATATTATTATATAATAATTCGATTCGGTTTGGACAAAATACATTATATATTAAAATTTGTATTATCATTTTCGAACGCCCGTTTTTTATTTTATTCCACTCGTTTCGCGATCACCCTCTCCGTTTAATATTAATCGCCAAAATTACATATGGACGTACCTACCTACCTACCATAATAATATTATTATAACGCCCATAAAAATCAACAAGGAAGATTCGCGGTCACGAACATCCGACACGTCTTATGTATACATGCTTGCATAATATTATTATATTAAATTGTCTACACGATGAATAATCCTAACGACCGTGTCGGTCGAGGTTAAACATATAGTGTTAATTTTTATTTTCCGCAAAACGACGCCTTTCGTTTGGTAGTCATATCCGATTAGCGTTGGTACCTTTTTGTATGCACAACACAATAACCAAGACACATACTAGGTGATTCGTTTATATGAGACAAGACACTCGTTTTTTGTCTTAGAATAATTGCCATTTTTTTTTTCTTCTCGGAGACACTTAGGTTTTTTACACTATTATTAAATTACAGTTGTTATAGAGCAGCAGGTGATACAAATACGGGCATAGTGACATAATATATTAATAAATTGTTAAATTGATCACTCTGTATGTGTTCAAACCTTACAAGTCACAAACGAACGTTTATTTGAGTAGAGTAGGTGCATAAGTTATATAAGTCAAGTGAAAAAGAGCAAACATAAAAAAGACACCCCTTTTTTACAGCATCTAAAAAGTAAAAAAAACTATTAAGTTCTACATATGTATATGTTTTAATATTATCAATGAATAATAATCAAATAAATAACAAAAATTAGATTCCAACACTCTTTTCTCAAGTTTTCCAATTAAATCAAACCAAAATCAAACGATTTTATAATTTTTGTAATTTTTTACACAGAAAAAAAAAATTGTTGCATTAACAAAAGTTTGGTTGTAATCGTGACGACCAGATTTTGTAGCTGATCCCATCAAAGAATATTTCTATCAAATAGACATTTTAGTCGAGGCAACATTAAATTTTCTTGGACACACCAATCAGTATTTATCAAACCTAGACTACGGGTATAATTTTCTCATAGTCTTCTTCTAATTTAAAAATGTTAAGAGGGCTCTAGACGTCTCAGGAGCGCCTTCCCATCAATTTTGGACCTAACCAGAGCGTGAGTATTGTTTCAAAAGCATTTAAAAACATACTCCGGCCAACTGTACATGTTTTATATTTGTATTTTTTTATATGACTGTAACCCATGTGTTCTTTTTAGTTCCAAACGAGGAACGACCTGTGCGGTTAGACCACGGTAAAAACCACACAGGTCGTTTCACTATAATATTGTTGAATGCTAATTATCATTATCGCAATACCGGCGGTATAATGTACTATTAATAGTGTCTCGTTAAAACGTTTATCTATTCACATATGTGCCATCCCCACATAAGTGTAGGTACAAGTATAATTCTGTTCCAAAAACGCAATAGCAATTAAGAGACACGCATATCGTGTAACGTTACTATTGTACGATTGTTTATTATAATTTTTTTTTTTAAAAAAATGTAGTTTTTTATTTCACCATTGTCATTATAGTCGAAGAGTGAATAACACCTATACTTATCTAAAAAAATTAAAAAACAAAGTTAGATGTTATCAAATAATTTATAGGTAGGTATGTTTAGAATTTTCATCATAGAAGTATCTAGGTATGAATGATGTTCTTAGATAAACAACAAACGCTCCAAGTCTGCTTGGTAGATCAAAGTTTTAATCATTTTAAATCCTTATTTTGGTTGTGGTGAAAAAAAGACAACCGAGGAAATATTTTTAGCTTTGTAAAATGATCAAGTATTTAACTTTTTAAGTATTTTCCAGAGCGCAATTAACTCATGAAACTTAAATGGGAACGAATACATTTTGACTGGTCGGTGGCCAGTTTCGAATAATTTATACTTTTAACTTATTGCAGTTAAAAGTTTACAACTTTAATGACTTATAAATAAAATGTAATTACACAAAACTAACATTTCCAGCATATTGTTCTTATTTTAAAAAGTCAATTAAATATAAATATTCCCGTTTAAGTTTCAAAAATTGATGGAAGAGTATGCTGAAAAATACTACAAAAAAATTATATCTTATCTTGCGTCCAATGGATCACTCTGTGTATGTATATTATGTAAATATTTATATTTTTTGTTAAAAAAAAAAATAGCCGTGGGAGAAAACGGTATTTTTAAATTTGAAGGCAAAATGACCTTGCCCTAGAGCATTATTATCCATATAGATAAGATGACTGACTTATAACTGGATTTAACGAATAATAATCAACTTATACATGCCAAGAAGGTTATTTTGCTTGGTTTTAATGATAAATCAGAATAATGAGCGTGTAATGTGTTGGACTGGTAACTTGTTTGTAAAAAAATTACCAGCTGCCAAGAAAATAATTGTTGGCCTCATAAATATATGTACGGTTAATACTTAATCATATTGTTTTTGTGATTAATCCAAAAGAAATTACCGTTCGTCGTTGACTCATTGAGTAATAATAATTACCATAATTGCTTTAACGGGTTATTGATTTTTTTTTAAATTAGTTTAACAAAAAAAACGACCGTAGAATGAGCGGCTAATCGTTGGTTGAAATCGCTCAAAACGTCATCGGTTAGTACCTAATCGATAAACGCATACATAATAATCTAAAAAATCTACACCGTCAAGCCCTGTAGTCCTGAGTGTATAAAATTAATAATAATAATATATTATGGTAATTATGACCGTTCATTTGGTATTTTTAGTAGCTGTATAAAAAGCTATCTTGAAGAATATTACATACATTTATGATTTATCTAAACAAGGCGATTTTCTAACTAGTTAATACCTAGTATGTTGTTTACAATATTTTCAGTATAACAAAAAAAAAAAAGACACCCAGAGAATAAAAATAAGTTTTATCTTAAAATTAAAGATTACAACATCAAATTACCAACTACAATATAACAGTAAAACCATAATGGTCAAGACGGTTAAGTTTACTATTTATATGTAAAATATAAATTGTTGAAATACTAAGGATATTTTAGTATGTTTAGTTCAAAAGGAACCGATACTGTTTCTCGAGTTTACTGAGATACTGTTTCTATCATTGAAAGAGTTTGAAATTATAATAAAGTCTTTACTCAAAATAAAATCTATGACCTGGTTATAATCCGTTTGGTTCCTTGCATAATTAAATATTTACTATTATTATTGATAAAATTAAATTTCAAGACAAACAAGCAGGCATGTAAATGTTTCTTAATGTATCAGAAAATAAATTTAAAGATTAAAAATGTCATTAGAACTCATATGAATTTCTACTTAATATACTAAAATAATTTACTCAAAATAGGTTTCCCCTATTTAATCGGTAGGTTTTTAAAATTTTGTTGGAACACAAATAATTTGTTTTTGTAAAAATGTATGCATTGTTTTAAAAGTTGAATTTTTCCTGTAAATACAGGGTGATTTTTTTTATCATAGGATACTCAATATCTCATAGGGTTTATAAGAAATTATAATGTTTTTTTTTCATATTTTTTTATACAATGTGATCTCAAGTTTTCACAATTTTTTTTGTTTTTACCCCCTCCCAATTAGTTTTGTTGACAGCAACTTTTGTACTTTGAATGGTAAGGAATATTATTTATAAACTTTTTAAATTGAGAATAATGTACTAAAAATGTCGACTGGTCTATAACCGGTTTCGGATAATTATTTTTGAAGTTATTGAAGTTTCAAGTTTAGAGCAAGAGGAAAGGTTGAGTGTAGTATTATTTTTATCTGCGCGCATTTCCCAACCGCACTTCCCCTCCCATCCTAACTTTTAAAAAAATATTAATTATTACATGCGAGTACAATATGTACTTAGGCTTTTGGCCAAAAAAAACTATAAAATCGACATTTTTTTCATAGTGTAATGTACAAAAACTGTGTCATTTTAGTCGCATTAGCCTGCGGTTTGACCATAAGGAGCTCGGCATTAATTACTGTTTCTCATCTTAATTGTTTATATTAAATGTTTTTTTTATTGTGATAACAAATTATAGTTAACAAATCAACAACAATACTATACTATCATGAATCTCCTCAAAAGCCAAAGGAAAGGAGAGAGAACTAATCTAAGATAACAAAATGAAATCAATTAGAAACTATATTATACAAAACTAAATAAATATTTAACCTAGATAATTTTGATATACAACATTTACATTGCATAAAATCCGAATTAATCGAAAATCTCTAAAACCGCGTCATATCAATACAGTTTATATGAATTTTGAAATTAACATAATTTCCAATATTTAAATTAGATCACCGTGGAGAATTTATAATCATTTATCGATAACAAGATCATTATTGATCCAGAAGCGCCGACAGTGGCCATTTACTGCGCTATCGACACGTTCGATCGATCCGGACCGTCGATTTTTAACATATATTTTTTTTACCTGCTATTATTAATCGTTATTATAATATATGTTTTCTTTATACTTACCATGAGACGGGGTTCCTGGAAAAGATCACGTCCCGGGGTCGACGACCGATGTACGTTCACCCTGTCTTGTCTTGCCCAGCTGTCTTGTCTTGTGTATAAAGCTGTTTTTTTTTGCAGCTATTGGCTTCGCTCACATACCTAATAGCTAATTATCAACGAAAACGATAGATCACCAGCTAGTGTAGTTAATATTATGTGTGTGTGTGTGTGAGTTCTAGAAACGTCTTAGGTCCTGTAGAAACGCAGACTATTATATATTAAATAATTGAGGAGACGCGACCGGAAAAAAAAAAAGATTTCTTGATTTTTTTAATAAAAATCAAATAAAAAAACTATTTTCCCGGCGACCACGGCACGTTTATCGGACACACGAAATACATGCGTTTAACCGGACCGGTATAAGTAAACACACACACCACTGGCAGTGTATAATAATATGACACCTGAGCCTGTCGAGTACCTATGGGCTACTGCGGTCGGCCGGCACACAGCTGCTCGGGTTGTGCGCCAACGTGCATACATTATTAGGTACTATTATTATTATTATTATGATTACTATATAGTGGTTCGCGCGCGTCCAAAAAGGAAGAAATACCTACCGGATCCGCCAAAGACGTTGATTACATACTGATATAATGATATATAGTGATTTGTTTAAGAACAAGTAGTACATTCGGCCACCCGTCACTGCTCGCCCAAAATGTACCTATGCACGACAGCAGCTGGCACACACTAGACACAATAGCTGCTGGAGTTTATCGAAAAGAGCACATTTTTTTTTTTAGGTACATAACCCAAATAGAATATATTAAATTTTGAATAACGTTCTGAAAATGTCGACTGATCGATGGGTTACCACTAACCGACCAGTTGAAATTAGTGTCTTATTCTAAACGAATGTATTATTACTAACAATAGGTCTAAATTTATTAGATAAATATATTTATTAACATTAATAATTTTTTGATTTAATTGAAAATTTATGTTAAAACTAATGATTTGAAGATGCAAAATAACAAATTACTTTGAATAACTTTCATGTACGATTTCTGATCTATAGACTTGGCACACAGAGTAATAGGATATATCATTGTAAAAGCAATACCTTTTCAGCTTCATATCGAGCCTAAAAATCTACATTGTTTTATTGTATACTACTTATCAGTGATAACTAATAATAATCGTACTACAACAAAATGTATTCTGAAAGAAGATCGGACAACTAGTATATCTCTATAATATAATATAGAAATCAGCACAATTATTTACTATTGTGTTTTTATCGTGGTCAGGTAAGTGCAGACAGAAAAAAACGAATAAATAATTTGATTTCATGCAGTGACTACAGAATGAGTACTTTGAAATTCTAATCAAATGACATATAAATAAAAATACAACTACTAGATAAGACTTAATTAAACTATAATCACTAAAGAACAATAATATATATATTTTGCAATTGTACAATATACAAGTGACAAGTCACGGATGATAATATTATTAAGTACAATAAGTTTGCTCACTTCCTTTTTAGCAAAGCTTGTTTTTGAGGTACAGTTAAACTTAAAATAGAAGAATTTGATTGAATACTATCTTGTTTATATATTTTTTTCTTTTGTTGTAAATTATCAATTCAGATTAGAGCCCGTGCGGGCCTAAGCTATATTTAATTAGGTCGTTCATCTTGGTGCGCTCAATGAAACATAGTATTCTATATGCATAGTTTAACGTTAAATTAAACAAGTATATTACTATGTAGGTGTACAAGTACAAGCCATTTTACACTTGTCAGTTGTCAATAACTATTTATAAATTATTAAGTCGGATAACGTCTTATAGTTTTTCTTCGGCCACCCACGTGAGCCAATTATTAAACACACAAACATTAATTTTAAACGTCCAAACCGTAATTAAAATGAAGCACATTTAAATTGTTATCATCACAAAGACGGCACGTTAACCTTTGTTCATTGGTTTTTTTTCTTATAACTTATTATTTATGAACGATCGGCATGTAGACCGATTTTTCAATTTTCTCTTGTTTTTTTGAGAGAAAGTTTTTTTTCAAATGAAGCACTTAAAATTATTGTACAGGACCAAATCTTATTTGTAAAATATAAAAAGCCAAGTTTTTTAGATTTTAATTATCACAACCTACTGATTTACCTAATCAACACAGCTGACCATAATTTTAAGTATTTATTTATATAGATAAAATTGTTTAACTATAAAACTGTGATAACTTGGAAGTGAATCACTCGGTATACATTTGTGTTTATGCGCAGACATGTCCGATTACGGCAGAGACTTTTGTTTTTGTTGTTCGTGATCTCTAAGACCGTAGATCAATAGATGCGAGTACATCATATACAAATGATTACCATTATTAGTTATTACAACCGTTCATTAGACCTTCGTTGACGTCAAAACGTGCACCGACATCAACAATAGTAGAAACGTCGACCACCGTGTTCTAGGTAAATATTACCTCTGGACATGTTATTTTCACCTCTACGCTACTATAATATACCAGAAGTGATTTACCCGTTGACTTATGCCCCCTTCCATATTATCAAAATCGATCCAAACAAATTGTAAGTAATTGAAACCACGTTTTAAAAATTTGTAACTTCTTACCTTGGGAGAAAAATGCAAATTTAAAAATTTACCCCAGCCCTCCCCCCCTATTTTGTCGAAAAAGCCCCTGAAAAATTGTAAGTCCTAGTTATGAATTCGTAAGTAATTGTAACCAAGTTTTTAAAATTTGTAACGTTTTTGAATTTTTTTCCCAATTTAAGAAGTGACACATTTTTAAAACGTGATAACAATTACTTATAATTTGTTTGTTTTGTTGAAACAAATTATTAATTTTTGTAAAAATCGTGACAGTTGCATTAAAATACTAGTCCAATATTATACAATTTCATACTAATATAAAATGCACTGAAACAATCGGATTTCATACTGACAAATAATAGTAGTGCCTTGAAGGCATTTGTTGTTGGATGTACTTTGTTATTTTTAGCTTTATAAAGTCTTAAAAATATTATAAGGTCCAATGTAAATTACATTTATACAACATGGGTCTTACGCCAAATTATTTTTTTTTTTTTTAAATATATGTATATACATAGGTATAGTATATGCTTTTCTGTTCTAAGGTGATTCTTGGAAAACCCGTAACAGTTAAATTAAATTACATAAAAACATTATCGTCTCAATGTCGATTATATCTATATTTTTATACTTAAAAGTTACTTAATTGTTAACGAATTCACTTCTGAGAATTCATTAAAAGATACTACATGCATTAGGAGGAGTAAGGATAGGTATAACCTTTATTTTAAAAAAAAGAGTAGCTATAACTTTTTCATAAAAACAGCCTCTCATCTTCTAAGCACAGACGGAATACGTTTGTTAGCTTTTTGAAACACATTTCATACAAATCAAAAGTCATTTTTCAAAAGTTATTACTCTCTTTTTGATTTATTTACTCTAATGATCAATATATTGTATAATTCAAAGAGTTTATCTAAATAGTTTAAATCAATATGGAAAGCAGAGTAGCCATATAACTAGTAGAAGTTAATAAAACAAATTACTTAAATTCATGCGTACATTTTCTAATTCTTGTCTAAAAATACCTACTTGAAAGTTAGTAAATGTATTAGTTTTCATTAAAAATACAGTTATAAAATATAATAGATAAATATAAAAACGGTACATAAACATTGAAGGTGATGAAAAGTGTAACTGATATTTTGTAATGTGTCCCATGTGTTGCATTCATTAGTAATTTAATGTCCTAATGTGTTTTCCTAAAGACTCTGACAAACTAGTCTCTGCGTTGCATGTGCAAATTTATGTATTAGCTAAAAGGATATTAAAAAAGGAAACCACAACTCCGTCGATCAAAAACGATTTGTGTTAAAATTTAATTACATGATTTTCTATCTTTCTCGAGGTCGGTATTGGTGGTTTGTAGAGCTACTACGGTATCACATCCCACGGGATTTCCATTGTGATTAAACAACTCGATTTTGAGAAGCCAGCATCCAATAGGTATCGTCGGACGGATCATGGTAGCACCTTTGTGATTAGTTATTGGTCGAATTCCCTATATTATAAATCAATTATATTTAAGTTAATGCCATAATACAATATTTTGAAATCAGCCATAATAAATTGAATTTACAATTGAGTCTGTGAATTCGTTGTACCTACTCAAAATACAAATTCGTCTTAAAATTACTATTATGATTTTTATAATGAATGCTTATTATGAATGCACGGATTGGCAAACAAGATATGAAAATTATAAGGAAGCAGGAATTACAATTATTATTGTAGTAGGTAATACCTAATTCCTATAATGATACAACTATATTATTATACAGTAGAAACACAACGAATGAAAACATTGTAATATTTTGCGGATGTTTTTTTTCGTTAGCTACATCAATATTAATACTATGGTTAATAAACACACTAAATTTGCAAAATAATATACAAAATCCAAATTATTTATAATACATATTAAAACTAAAATATCTAAATAAAAAATTCGGACTTGGGAGCAAAATATTGTATTTTTTTGTATCCTTATAATTTTACTGTAGCTTAAGTAAGTCATAGGCTACAGTTTATTTTACAAATAAATAAAGAAATTTGGTAGCGTTGAGCCAGATGACCTTAAATCGAATCATGTTTTTTTTTTTTGGATAATTTTTGAGTACACTATTAAAATAAAAATAAATTTCTTATACTTACACTTATAATTAACCTCAATTTAATGTTTTTTTTTTTATTAAACTAAAGTATTTTTTAGTTGACTTTAATATATTTTACATATAACTATTAATAATAATTAATGTATACTGATGCGTTTATTTTATTATAAATAAACGATTCCTATCCAAATTTCAGATTATTGTCTTTTTCCCATTAATAAAAGCTTTAAATTAATATTGGACTTTTACTGTATAAACGTTTTATTAAGGGAAAAGTATACCAGTAGTTTTTGAATGGTTAATAACCATATCTAAATAAGACCTCAAACAGTACTTATAAGTTTGCTACACATTAATTTAGACCACTCACAAAAAATACTACCCCGTTCTTGGCCTATATTTAATTAAAATTAATTTTTGGATAAATACTTGAAGCTAAAAATCATTTGGCTTTAAACATTATATTTTTAATGAAAGCATTATTTAAAAAACTTAATACTTTATTTTTAATAAAACTTAGCCCTTCTAGCCTTGAAATCAGGTCTGCCTCTCCCCTTAACCCACCGACACGATTTCATTGTAAAACTGTAGATGGTAAAAAGTATTGAATATAACTTTACCTAGATAAGATAATCATTTAGTTTGAAAGGCTAGATTCACTAGGTCTTAGGTAAACTAAGACTATAGATTTTTAAGAAGACTTTACATGTTATAGAGCGACACCAAA